TTCCTTTTGGTCATCCCCTAGGAAGGGAAGGTGTTTTTTCTTCAAAAAAGGGGGAGGGGGTGACAGAGTGCTGACATCCCAAACAGCACAGGAGACTGTGCTTCAAAACAGGCAGTCTTTATTGTGCCACTGCAGTTCCCTCGGTCTTTCCTCAGACTCTGTTCTGTCCTCCCTGGGAATAGTTTTTCCACTCTTCTCTCCCACCTCCATCCGAGGACTTTCTCTGTGTCCTCCCTGGGACTACCCATTTCCCCCCTCTTCTTTCAGAGCCTCACCTTTTCTCTGTTACAAAACTATAGTATTACCCCAAGAACTTAACACTTACCCAATAAAATTAAACAAAGTCACAGGGAGAGGGCATCCAGTTGGAATGAGTCTGCTGGAGCGTTGTAATTACTGTGCTCCAGCAGCCTCCTTCATGTCATGTATCAGCGTCCCCGCACTCCAAAATGGTGTTGGGGGCACTTGAACTAAAGCTCGTTTAACACTCTGGTCTCTAGTTAAAGTGCTCCCCCACTCCTGGAGCACGTGTAAAAGTGTCCTTAGTGCTGTGCAGTGAGTGGGGTAACTGATTCTGCCTCTCAGCACATCTAACTGGCCTGCATGTATATGTAGTGAGGATGAAAAAGAAAACATAGTATTTTAAATGAAACATTTTTGAATAACCTGAATATATACTGTAAAGTATATCGTGATTTTGATTAATCCAATCTCCATTGAGATCCATCTGACAAAAACATTCAATGGAAGTACAGCTTCTTAGAGGCCAGAAGGCTGATGATCTGATAGGACTGAACAAATCTGCATTGTCTGGTAACACTTTCACCGGACAGTGAAGTCTGGAACATCAAAGAGGTTGCTACATAGTGATTTCAGTTTAGAAGGAGTTGTTTTCCTTACATTGGCTGGAAGAAAGGGATGATCAAAGTTGAATCTTTGAGGATGCATAGTAGTGGTTGTAGAATATGACTGATCTTTCTATTCTGGGCTGGATTACTAAGGATGGGATCTCTAATAAGTTTAATAGTGCTTTCCAAAGTTTGTTCCAATTAATTAAACTGATCAAAACTATCAAAAAGTCACTTACTTCTGAGTCTGAATCCTTTATACTATGCAAATGTAGCTACACTACTTCTGTTTTTAAGAGATACTAGGCATATCTAAACATGCAATTAATACATCTGAATTTTCTGCACAGAAAATTTGGGCACATTAAGCTGTGCCCCTTTATGCACCTGAACATGCACCTGTTGGAAGCAAATTTACTCCTGATGGGAACAGTTCAGTCTAGGGCTGCTCCTGCCCTGATGTGCCCCTCTGCAGCAGCCAGGGGGAGCTCCAAGCTTCCTTGGATGCCAGGCTCAGCCTGGCAGGGGGCATGGGGATTGATCCCTATCTCCATGGGGTGGGGGAGAACTGTCCCAATTGTCGGGCAGCTGCCTCCTAGCCCGATGGAGATCAGGACCTGTCTCAATCTCCACTTGGTTGGGAGAGCTGTCTCATGGAGGTCAGGACCCATCCTGATCTCCATGGGGTTGGGAGAGAGCTGCCCAGCAGCTGGCATAGTTCTCTCAGCCCTGTGAAGATTAGGACAGCTCTGCTTGCCCTCTGTGGCCCCCTGCTGTCTAGTCTGACTGCGAGCAATTTGCTTCCAGTTAGCATCTACATGCGTGCTTTGGCGCATTAGTTAATGCACTGATTTCTAGTTCCTCTATCTACAGGTACTAGAAAATGGCACATTAGACTAATTTATTATGCAGTAATTGCTGTGCACATGTAGACAGTGATGCTTTACTGCACATGACATTAGTCTAATGGATAGTAAAGCATTTCATGTAGACACATTGACTGGGTATGTGGAGCAGCGCAGCACATTACAGCGTGGTACTTCCTGGCATGGGAAGTGAGCAGTTAGAGATATGGCTCGAGATGCAAAGAGGGACATGAGAAGTGAGATGGGGAATAGGAGCCAGTAGGGAAGAGGCACATCAGAATAGAGTTGATGTGAGTCTGGAGAAGAGACAGATTAGATGAGGGGCTGGGACAAGAGAACTGGAATGAGGTAAGACTGGGGACCAGAAGCCAGGGGATTGGGAATGGCTGAATAGGTGGACAAAGATACTGGACATGGGAGGAGGGGAGAAAGGTTGGTACTAGGTAAGCAAAGAAACAGGAATGATCATTGGAAGCATGAGGAGTGGAGACAAAAGGCTGCATATTCAAATAATCTGGAAGAATTCTCCTAGGTTTGTTCTCTTGGTAGAAAAACTTACCCAGAGATTCCTGAACAGAATTTGAATATTAATCCCTTGAAGAGCCTTTGAAGAACTGAGCACTTGCACTCCTGACACTGCACAGCCAAGGGGCCCTAGTGCACACATCTCAGAATGCTGCCTGGCAACAGATGGCGGCAGTGCATAGGGCAGCCCTGATTAGCTGACTCTGACTGCCTACCTCTCCCTTGAGTACCATGTGGGGATTGCAGAGGAAGTGTGTTCTATTCCCTGCTTGGCTGGAGCAGGAGAGTCCAACAAGTGACACATTGTCTCTTGGGGGCGAGGGGGGAAGAAGTACCTTGAGATGCTGAAGGACTGTCACTTCTCTTAGAAGAGAATGTGTACAGACATTCACTCTCCCAGGAGAAATTCCCCTGGGAGTGACTTAAGCCCAGTTACCCATAGGTTATTTTCTCCTGGAGCAACCATTTTTACTCTGGGAGAAAAATTCTGAAGACCTGTACACTCATGGCTTGTCCTGTTATAGCAGCCACTCTCCTAGGAGAAACTATTTGTACATGGTCTAGTACCTTTAATTTCATGATCACATACTATATTTCCACAGGGCCCCTGCCTTACTTAGTGCAGAATCAGTTACCCCACTCACTGCACAGCACTAAGGCTGGACCTGCTCTAGGAAATAATTAGGAGTTGTATAGAAAAGGACCCTTGCTTCATTTGTTGGAATGTGTGTAATGGATTAGAAGAGAAGCAAAACGTATCAGCTGAGGTAATGTTTTTTATAGGACCAAGGCGTATAGTTTGGAGAGCTAGAAGATAAGTTTTCACTCTCTTTTATCAGGTCTGTGAAAGAAGAAGCTACGGCCCAAGGTAAGTGAAAATTAGAACAATTGCCTTAGTTTAACTTAATTATGATTATGAATCTAGCCACTTGTAAGGGAAGTGTTCAAAGACAGGAGCTTCAGGAAGATCTCGATTAAGGCAGTTGAATGAGCTGTATTCTATGCCTACCTTTGCCACACAGGTCACTTCTGAGGCTGGGGAAGTCACTTAAACCAAACTTTTCATACATTATTACCATGTGTTCCTCATTTTCTGGACTGACTTGAGAAGTGTTGAGTGCTCACAGCTACAACAGAAATCTTTCGAGTTGTGTTTTTGAACAGATAAATAATTGTGTATACTATATAAGCTAAGTTCTTTGAAAAATCAAGTCCTTGGTGTCTAAAAGTGGGTGCCTAAATTGAGTGAATACTGGTGGCTTTAATGTCTAGTGCCAGCTCCCTATCTATAAAATGGAAATAATTTCACTCCCCACTTCACTGGGGGGTGAAAATTAATTAACATTTATGAAGCATTGAAATACTGTAATAAGAGCAACGTGGAAAAGCCCGTAAGGAAATTAATACCTCTGTCTTCAGAACATGGTTTGAAAATTGTGCAGTCAACAAAGCACAGGCTGAACAATGAAAAGAAAAGAAATATTGAATAGTGTTGCAGAGCACTTAGGTGCCTTGCTACTTTGAAGAGTAGAAACTGGGGAGCCCCAGCTGCTGGTTACCAGGGCGACCACAGTGAGCTAGTGGCCCACACCTGCCAGAGGTCAGCTGACTGGAAGGGGCAGGGCCTGGCTCACATAGAAACCCCAGGGCTGAGGCCAGGATGGCAGTTCCCTGCTAGCAGCCAAGGGGAAAGAAGCTGGCCTAGAGCAGGCAAAAGGGGAGAGGCCTGACTGCAGGTACAGCCTCTGATACTGGTGAGGGACGAAACACCCCTGGTATGGCTTGAATGGTGTTATAGCCAGGCAGCTTGGATTTATGTTATAGCCCAGGGGCTTGTGTTTTTGTTTGCTGTTTAAGACTGGTGGTTTGGGTGAAGCCATTAGGGGATGGAGAAGGCCGCATAGGGGACCCATGGCAGTGTGGGGACCCCAGTGCCAGAGAGGGTGCAACATTTGAGGGTGCACCGACCCCGGCGCCAGAGAGGGTGCAACATTTGAGGGTGCACCGACCCCGGCGCTAGAGAGGACGCAGCATTTGGGGGTGCACCAACCCCAGTGCCAGAGAGAGTGCAGCACTTTGCAGGGCTGTCGAAAGTGCAGGTGCCAGAGAGGACGTAGCACTTTGCAGGGCTGCGGAGAGCCCGAGCGCCAGTGAAGGCGTAGTGCGAGACAGGGCTATGGAGAGCCTGAGGAGGACCAGGGGGCCAAACTGTAACAAGGCCCAGACCGAACAACGTCAGTTCCATCTGTGAGGCTTGGGGCGTGGTAAAGGGGTGGTTGGAGCCACACATAGCTCATAGCCTCCCTAATATATATATTTACCAACAAAGACATGGCAGATGAGAATTGAGGGTGCCCATTGGGTCAACTTGGCATGGTAAGGGAGCCTTGGGGAGATCACGGTCATCCTGCAGGACCCTGTGCCATGACAAATAGTTTCTTTTTAAATGAACAGAGTCCATCCTGCAAAGGAATGAATCAGTGGTCTATGGAAAAAAATGTGTTCATATAATTAAATTTAATTATAATAATTCATCATGATATATACTTATAATGGTGCCAAAGTCAACCTGCACAGTTGGCATTTCCTAACTTTTGACTGCTTGACTTTGCAACTTTAGAATGCTTTTTTAAACACTGTTTTTAATGTATATACACATGTGCACGGATAGGATCACAGAAAGCAGGGCTGGAAAGTACCTCAGGAAGTCATCTCATTCATCCCTCAGCTCATGGCAGGATCATCTCTATCTAAACCATCCCAGTCAAGTGTTTGTCTAACCTGATCTTAAAGACTCCCAAGGATGGAGATTCCACAGCCTCTCTGTGTAGTCTGGTCCAACTTTTGACCACCCTCATGCTGAGAAAGTTCTTCCTAATATCCAAACTAAATTTCCCCTTCTGCAAATTGCTCATTGTTTTATCCCCTGCAGCCACAGAGAATACTCTTAACTCAGCAGTTAGTTAAGGTTTTCTGGTGGCAGGCTGGAATGACCCAGCTTGGATCTGAGACAGGCCAACACTAGGACCTGGCCACCTTCTCCCCATGGCCTGGCTGCAGCACAGGAGAAGCTTCCTACTGCACAGTTGCAGTGTAAATAAAACTCCCTGACCAGGGTGCAGATGAGAAGTCCTCCACTGCCAAATGCTGTGGAAGCCCCCAAATGTCACATGCCATCAAAGTCCCCTGCTCTGTGGGCTGGATCCATTGGCTCTGCAGGCTGTATCTGGCCTGTAGGTAATAGGGTTGCCAACTCTCAGTTTATCTCCATTCTCTTTATAATCACCCTGTAAGTATGTGAAGACTCTTACTAGATCTGCCCTCAGTCTTCTCATCTCCAGGCTATGTAACAACAATGCACTCAACAGTTTCTTGTACACGATCTAGTAAAGATGTGTCTAACTCACCCTGGGTTCCAGGCTATATCTGTCCTGCGGAATAGGGTAGCAGTGGTGGTACTAGCACAGGTGGCAGCAGGGACAGCAGACAGAGGTGCTACTGGTAGGAACTGCAGTGGCTGTGGCAAGACTGGTGGCAGTAGGTCAAGTGGCTACAGATGAGAGGGTTGTCTTGGCACAGCTCTTGTTCATCTTCCTACTGCTGATGGCCATGCCCCCTAGGCCTCAGAGGCCCTGGTTTCTACAACAGGACACATCCACAATGTTTGTAACCTGCTGGTAGAGTGGCAAGCTGGATAAAGTGGTCTGCGGGCTCGATTTGACCAGTGGGCCATATGTTTGACATCCCTAAGTACACTAAGACATACGAGATGTAGTCAAATACTGTGCATACTTATCATATGCACTGCAATCCATACTTATCATATGAACTGAAAACTGATTTCTGCTTAGTATGCTTTTATACATACACAGCCTTGACACTGTATGTAATATGTGCCATTGCTCCATGTATGGTAGAAATACACTATATGCAAGTAATCCAATACCTCTTTGCATCACCTCATTTTATTTCTGGTTCTGAGATAGTTAAAAATGCAGAGCCAGATTGTCAATGGATGTAAATCAATGTAGCTGCATTGTAGTCAATGGAGCAACACCAATCTGCCCCAGCTGAGAATCTGATCCTCACAGTTTCATTCCCACATGTAGATAAATTCTCTCTCCATCTGCTTCATTCTCAACGGATAAGCAAAAGCACCTTGGGGTCCAATCCTGTGAGTGCTGAATCCCTTCAATTCCCAGTGACATCAATGAGCACTGCAGGAAGGATTCAGCACCTTGAATGATCCGTGAGTGAATCTGGTTTCTAAACCTGTGCTTGGAATTGCAAACAGGCAATAGATATTATTGAACTTTTGTTTTTATGATAATGTCCCCTTTGTCTACACTTCATTTGAGGATGAGGGAGATAGGCAGGATTGTGTTATCTCTCATCCTCAGCTTGCTGCACTGCACGGTGGTGTCATTTTTCAAACAAAGCTTGAAGACTTGCTATATCTGGTGATCCTGATTTCTTACTTTTTACTTTCTCAGCTCACCTCCCCCATGCAACAGAGATGAAAACATCAATATCTGTTCTGGGTTTCCAAAGTGTGTAATTTGTTATTAATTTGGGGGACAAACAGTTATCTGACATTTCATGTAATATTTCTTTATCACCATCCATCAAACCCAAGTTAACTTACAGGGAGGCTCAGTGTCAGAGCTAGTAACTCCACAAGTTTGTTCAAACAATGAAGTTGTGACTAACTCTGCGTGATAAGATATCCCCTAAACTACCCTCCATTGCCCTTTTCATATTTTATTCATGTAAAATTATAATGCATTCATTTGAAAGTCATTCTTTTTATTTCTAAAGCTGAACAACTCAGGTCAGGAAAACTATTATTAGGAACATGTTTATTTATAACAACTAGTTTAGCATTAAGCAATGAGTTATGACAGGCTGGGCATTTCGGGAGTATTATTGTATGCCTTGGGTAAATTCAGAGGCACAATGCTGAAGGCAAAGGGGCCTTTCACCACCCAAGACATGCAGCAGGCCTCCAAAAATGAACTGCCACTAGCCTCTCATTGCTGTTATGGAAATGAAGCACTAGAAACAGAGAAATCTGGACCTGCACTGGTGCTTGCTGATGTGCGTATCATACTGCTGATAGCCTGTTGGACAATCCCAATGACTCTTGCCTGCACTAGCAATTCCACAACACTAAGGGCCGTGTGTAGATGAAACAAGGGGCATGTGTGCGTGACACTTTAAAGCGGGTTAAATGCTTTTGCACTGCCTTAATGGTGTGGATGTTTGCATGTGTCGGCAGCATATTGCGCATTAATTCCAGCTGCTGTAGCACATTTGGTGGCATAATGCTCCTTAAATGACTTTGGGGTGCAACAAACTAAAACACCTCTAAGGTGTTTTAGTTTGCTGCCCTACAGCCATGGAGCGAAGCACCAGGCTCTGTGCACCTCAGGGGCTGCGCAGCCAGCCTGTGCAGGCAGCCTGGAAACAGCCGGGGCAGGCAGGCTCCACGGAGCAGTGAGCCTGATCTTTTTTTTTCCCCCCCACCCTGGAGCCTGCCTGCAGGGGGACCCTGGTCCTTCTCTCTGTGGCTGCAATGTCCCCCAAGACCACCCGAGCCGGGTGCCTGAGGGCGAGTGCTGCCTGGGAAGGGGGCTGCTGCTGCTGCAGAGGGAAGCACCAGCCCCCCTAGCCCCCCAGGGACCACTCTGCCTCCCGGCAACTCATCCTCCCCTCCCTGCCACTGGAGAGGCAGGTAAAACATGGGTGTACACAACACAGGGGTTTACTTTGCCCTAAATTGAAGCAGTGTTTTTAAAAACCTCAGTGCCTTCAATTTAGGGTGAAATAAACCCCTGTTTCCTCTACACACTCCCAAGGAGAGCACTTTAGTGACTCATTTAAAACCAGGGCCACTCTCAGGTTTTAGGAGAGTTGGAACAACAGTTAAAAGCAGGGCTTCCTGCTGCTCCAGGTTTTTAACAGCTATCCCTCCCTTTTCGCCACTACCTGTTTTCTTCTTTGCATTGTTCAATGTCTCCTTGTATCTTAAAACCAATTAATTCCATTTTATGCCTAGTTTTATGGGGTTTTGCTTTTTTTTTTTTTTACAAAAGCTGTTAAAGTGCATACATTATAAATACTTTTCAAATTAGTTTTTATTTAGTTTTATATAGCCAGCTGCTTCTAGGTCAGGAGGCACCTGAGATAAGGCAGGCAGAAAATTGACTGACTAAGAGGAAGGGAGAGAGGAGCAGGCCACATACTAACCTGCAGAACAAGGGGGCCTGGTGATCACAGAGGGTTCTTCCCATTATGAAAATGTTGAAAATACTTTTCAACATTTACTCCAAGATTTCTTGGAGTCTCAGACCAGCAGAGACTCCCTATGCCTGCCAAAGGGTGCGCTTGAAAGCTTGCCAAGAACTTTTTTCCAACTAATATTTATTAGTTGGTCTAATAAAAAAGATCCCATCACATCTACCCAAAGAACCTTGCCTAAAAATACTTTAGTGAGTTGTTTATCACTCAGGCTCCAGTGCTGTGTGGCAGAGAGCAACAGCTGCTTCAAGGCAACTCAGTTCCCTGATGGATTAGGATGTTTCCTCTTTTCTGTGGTCCTCACTGGGGGCCTGTCACAGACTTCCCACTCCTTCTGTACAACAAGAAACCATCACTTGTGATATAGTTGCTTCCATAAATGCACAGATTCTAAGCACGTCACTCTCCCCCCACCACTTTCTCTTCTCTAGGGAAGAGATCCTGCATGGCAGAGCTGTTTAGGGATAATGCAAGGGACACGCTGAACCTTGAGTCATACAGCTGAGGGGTTCAATCAAGTGGCCAGGGCCAGAATAATGGGGTCTCAATTCTGGGGTATATTTTTTTTAGGTTGTAAGGAAGGGTACTTATTCCATCCTATACAGGGGCTGGAGATGGGCTCTTTCTTTTCCCCAGGAAGCTCTGGGGGAAGGTCCTGTTTACACGGAAGAGCAGAGGATTCAGCAACCACAGGTCAGGAGACACATCAGCCACCTTGTGTTTTTTGTCTGCTCCTCTCTCCTCTCTTTTGACATGAAACAGGCTCAGGATGCAGGGAAAAGAAATATGAAGTGACTGGTACTAGAGGGCAATCACGCTGGCTTCTTCTGCGGTTGCTTGCAGCAAACGTCAAGCAGCATATTTAGAAAACCAAAACTGCTTGGCAGAATTGGGAGGAGTTCTTCAAACCACATATTTCTATAACCAAAAAAAAAAAAAAAAGGAGAAGAAAAAGAAAAGCTTAAAAAACCCAAATATTTTCTTCAGGTTTTTGTTTTTCAAAATTTTAAAGACATGTTGGACAAAAATTGGAAAATGAAAACATTATACATCTTTTTCAGCTTGTGGTTATTCCTCCCTCCACCTTTTTAGTGGGAGAATGAAAACAAAGAAAGGGGAAAGCAAATTATGAAACTGTTAAAAGTGAAGTATTAAAAAAAAAGCAGATCAAAATTTTGAAAACAAACTTTTTTTAAATAAAAGTCTACATTTTTTTGAACAAACAATCATTATTTCAAAATGATTTAGAAAGTTTTGAATTTGGGGGAAGTTCTCACCTCCTATGTTTTACATTGCTTACCTCTCACAATAGGATGGGATTAGATTGCCACCCCCCTTTGCTTTTAGGGTTAGGTTAGGTCTATTTCTCCTCCCTCTCTGCGGACAGAGCCATTATGATGACTCAGTTAAAGTTTCAGTTAACTTGTTAAGCAGCCAGCTGAAAGGAAGGTAGTGCCAAATGGCAGCAGTCCAGTTACTTCTGCTTCACCTTGTTCTGCACCTTTGGAGCTGTGAAGTGGTTTGGGAGTTTCTCTGGAATCAGGGATTGCTTGCTGTGGGTTTCCAGAGGCCATAGGTAATGATAAGATGGACCATAACTTAAAACTCTAAGGGAAAACCACTGTGAACGTTTCACCTTAGCACTTCAGTTTACTTTTCCAGACTATTCTCATGAGGGAAAGGGCCAAGAGCTTACTATAAAATGAAAGCAAACCAAGATGACATTTATGTTGCTACAGCTAGGGGCATGTCTACACATGGCATATTAGAGGTACTAAACTTAATGTACAGTAGCAAAGGCACATTAATGCACATGTAGATAAGTCTGCTCTTACTTTAGGCCTGAGCTTAATTGTCCTGTCTTGGTTAACTCCTAATTCAGGACAGCACTTAAGTCCGTCCTTCAGGAGGGGCTTAAGTTAAATACATGCTTAATTCTGAGCCTAAATGGAGATGCTTCCCTGGAGTCTTTCATAGTAAAATCAAAAGAATAAGCATTTTCAATTACATTTATAATAATAATTTTAAAAATATACTCCACTGTAGGTTTGGCCAAAGAGGAGAGAATATTTCATTAAAATATAATGCTTTAAAAAAATTCAAAATTTCTTTAAAATGTCAAAAGCAAAACACCTTTGGTAGCTTTACCCAGAAGTCATGGAGGATGACAGTGTGAATCATTAAGTAAATGTAACAGCATGCACATTTGATTAAAAAGAAATGACTGGTAGATATTTTGAGACAAGTTATTATGGTGCAGCATGGGCAACTGGTACCTCCTGACTCTGGGGAGGGCACCAGCATCCGATCGCCAACCAGGGGAAGGGGGACAGGTGTTCCCCAGTGGTTCATCGCTGACCCTGGAAGTGCCAGCAGCAAAACCAGAAGTGCTGCCAGTAAAACTGGAAGTGCCGCCTGTACGTCTCGGGGGGGCGCCAGCCGGTGCTTCTCATTCCCCGGCTGGCGAGGGCCAATCTCAGGGGGGCATGTCCCCTCTATGCGTCGCCTATGTGATGCAGCAAATCAGGTAAATATTTATTTGAACTGACCAAACTAGGAATCTGATCCAAAGCTAATAGTTGATGACTATCTTTAGGGTTGTGGGGGCACGTCTACATGTGCATTTACTGCACATTAAATTTAATGTTCAGTAAGCAGATTTAGGCCAGCGCCTACACGTTCAGGTGTTAAAGCACAGTAATGCGGTGTGTGGACTGACTTGGGGGTAAAGTTAGTCCCAAGTCAGTCCACATACACTCTGTTAGCGCGCAGTAACATTTCTACACATGCATTACTGTGTAGGAACTAACTGGGTGTAAATTTGCTACCTGCATCGTGCAAATAGCAAATTTACGCCCAAGTTGATATAAGTTGCCATAGTTACTGCACAGTACAGGTGTGCATGTGTAGACGCATGCCCATACTGCACAGTAATATTTGGTTACTGTGCAGTAACTTAGGTTACTGCGCAGTAAATGTGCATGTGTAGACGTGTTCTGGGTGTTCAAATACAGCCCAACAAGTGATAGATACCTCAGTAGCTGGTGCACTGCAGAGAGCTGTACTGGTTGTATGCTACTGTCTCCCCCTAACTTGTTTCAGCTGTCAACTTGCATTAAAATAACTTCAAATTGCATTTAAAAATTGAATGCTTACCTAACATTTTTTTTTCTTGTATAAGCAATTACAATTTTTAGGTGCCCAACTTGAGGCATCCTACAGGACCTTAACTTCAGCACTTTCTAAAAATCAGGACTCTAACAAATGTTCTCAAAGGGAGCAACCCAAAACTGGAAATGCTCCTAAATCACTAGTTACTTTTGAAAATACTGGAAATAAAACACTCAAGCTTGTGGCAAACCATGAGCACAAGACATATAAAAAATCCAAATTTTGGGGTAATTAAATTACATGACTTGCAACAGCAGTACCAAAAGGATCATCAGCAGATTTAAGCATCTGCTGGCATAGGAAGAAAGCAGAATCAATGCTGAAACTAGTGAAAAGAAAACCATTACGCAGGATTTTGCACACTGTCCTTTAGCATTTGGAGATAAGAGGCTTTTAGAGCTAGAGGACAGTGTTCCCTGCCTTCTTGCTAAATATGTTTATATGAAATAATTTGGCAGAGTTGTGGGTATTGGTTACAAATTTTGCAGTCATTACTAAAGCCCAGGTCTTCCTCCTAATGAACTAAATGGGACTGTTTCCTGAGTAAGATCTGAGGAAATACATGACTTGAAAATTTAAAAATTAAGCCTCACAGTATTGCTCTGTTTAATATCCCACAGGGCTTAAATGATTTGCCCAAAGTCACACAGTGAATCGGGGAATGAGCCAGGAGTAGAACACAGGACTTCTGGCATTCAGTCTTGTTTTACTAGATACATGTTTGCAGATGTTAATGGTAATTCACAGAAGCAAGAAAATGCAAACGAAATCTTCCTCTGGCTTCTTAGTATGTCTAAGTATAGCTTCACAGCACACATACAGGGCCAACTTATTCTGCTTTTTTGATGCATGTTCTTCCATTGGTTTAAATGGAATTTTACAACTGAGGAAGGTGGCAGGATTTGATTTCTGATGTGCAGTATCCAACAGGCAATTTGAACCCTGCAATACCGATACACAACAGAAAGAAGAGAATGAGTAGTAGCCCTAATTTCACTTCTAGGTTTGGGGGTTTCAGTCAAACTTAGTACATAAACTAGAGCTGAATGTGTATTAGTAATAGATACCTAGTTAGTTAAAATGCAAAAGGAAAATAATGCTACTAGGTATCACCTGGCACCAAACAAAGGAGAGGTTAAATCAAAACAGATCATACTTTTAGGAACAGATAGATTATTTTCTGGTTCTAATCTGTCAGCTGACTCAGATAGAAAGGCTGTGAACAGATTTTTGCCCTTAGGGCAATGCACAAAGTTTTATGGAGGAACAAAAGTTGAGCATATAGATGTCCTTGCTGCTTGTTGCTCCATAAATGCCCCAAAATGTTTGTGTGACAATACCTGTTTATCCTCCTTTATTGCAGTGGATGTCTGTATGGTTATGGTGCATCAGCTGAATATACTGTCAGAGTGGCGGTACTTCTTACCTCCCTGAGACACAGGACCCCAGGAGTGGAGACCCTCTCCCCAATCCTTGGGTCCTCTGTGCCAGGGGCAGTGTGTACAGCTCAGCTGGTTTGCAGACATGTTTTTTTAGACATCCTTGACACATAGGGACACCAGCAATGGGGAGATGATTTGATTCTGGGGGCTGGGGATGTCAGAAAACTGGGTGTAGCCTGGCTGCACCTGTGATTTTTAAAAGTGTCTGCACTTTGGGGCCAGGCCAGCCATCAGCTGCCTGTGGCAATGGGGAGGAGGGAGGTGGAGCAACAGGGGACTTATGGGGTTTACAGTCCCATTGCTGGGGACTTTAAACCTCATACCTAGCAGATGTGGCCATGCTGCTGGGGTGCAGGGATCAGAGACTCCTTGTGGGATTTAAAGTCTCCTGTGGCGATCCTGTGACCCCCCTGCATCCTGGCAGCCTGACCAGAGCTGCTGGCTGTGGAGTTTTGACAATCAGCTGGCTGTCAGCACTGCCTGGACTGCCTTGATCTCCAACCAGACATGGGGCTGTCCTAGCCAGGCCAACAATCAGCTGATTGTCATCTTACCACAAGGAGCCTTACTCTTTATACCTGCTTTGAAAGGTGGATATAACAATCTCCATTGTGAGGTGCATGACAGCACAACTGGTGGTACAATAACTACAATGGCTCTTTATAGCTGAAGAGAGAGGAAGACCAATTCTAAGCCAGTTGAATAGGTGAAGCCCTGATGACACCAAGCTTGCAGCATAGGGGGAGCTGAAAGAGTATGGATGGTGTGAATGAAAGAGGGAATGCAGCAGACAGCTAAAAGAAGGTCAAACAAAATGTGAAAGGAAATTCGGTGTTTCAGATAACAACAGATAACAGCAAAGATACAAACTCCCTGAGAAGTGAGTGGAGTGGAAGAGAGTGAAAAGCTCAAACTTATTACAGTTCTCTGTTTCTTTCTAAAAAAACCCTGCCACAGAATTAAATTTAAAAAAAGGAAAAGAAAAAACACACTAAGAGGATCCCCCCCGCTTTTGAACTGCAACAAAGAAGCAACCTGAAAAATCTTACCAGGAAAAACTTCCAAGACTTCACTCTTCACTTCTCTTTTCCTAGACACTGGGTGTGGGGACAATACTGAAAGCCACCAGAGAAGCACCCGGCTGCTGCCTTCATACATTGAATGCTATTTTAGGACTTCTAAATTGAGCCAAATTGTCCAAACCCAGTTGGTAGAAATTGGCTTATGCTGTGTGAAAAAAAAAAGGTCTGGATTTAATTTTTAAAATAATATTAGCTTAATGATTTTATTTGGAGGGAAGGAAAATTATGTTTATTTTACAGACTTTACACTCTCAGTGCTTAAAAAAGAAAAGACGATGATGATACCGATACCACAGGTAAAGCAACCAGCACCTTTTCTATTATGGAAGCACTAGCCAAAGCAATTTTTTTATTTACACATAAATGAAAACTAGAACTTGGTGCTTAATAATTATGGCTGTTTGCAGATGTGGAAAAAAAACAACAGATAATGGCGCTTTACTTTAAACTTGGTGTGTTCCCACCCCAAGCCCAGCACATGCCCAGAGGAGGCAGTGTGTTAACTGCACCTGGCTTTCCCAATGTCTGTAGAGATCAGGCAGTAGTGGGGCTTTTTTGGTGCTTTTATCTAATAGCTGACTGAATCAGCTTTAGTTAAATGCGCCAAAAAGCGCCACTGAAGTGCCTAATCTATATAGACACTGCAGAGATGGGTTGAAGTAACGTGCTGCTGCTTCTGGTAGAGCACATTTTTTTTCCCCCCTTGTCTGTCAGTGCCTTATGTTCCAAGGACTAAGTCCTATGCTTTGAAACGCAAGCACTCTTTGCAATATACTCAATTTTTCAAAGCCAGCTTTGGCTGTTGTGCCCACTATTTATTATTGCTGTTGAGTTGGCCAAGTGTGAATTCAATCTGGTAACCATTAGAAACGCATGTGATCTTATTGAAGCTATTGAACAACTCATGTGGGTAAGAACTGCTCCCATGACTAGGGCTGCATGATAGGGCTCTTTGTGATCTTGGGCCAAATCCCACAGTCCCTCTGAAGTTAACTGTTAGGACTGCTCATATGAATAAGGCAAGCAGCATTCATCTGTGTTTGTGCATTGTAAGACCACGTTTTAAATAAGTGCTTTCGTGACTGCCTATAAGTAACAAAGGTGTTTTTTTTTAAATGCCTATTCTGTATTTAGAGCCTCTGTCAAAGGGCAGAATGACTGCTTGGAGACAGCATTTCACTCTGTAAGATAAAAAGTATGTAAACCCTGCTTAATTTGTTATAATAATGTCTTAATTTATTAGTTACATGAAACTCACACAGTGTTAACACATATAAAGGGTCCCAGCTTGCAACTGAGGGATTGCAAACATAGCTGATCATAGACTTTACTTTTGCAAGTCATCCAATCGACATGACTGGGGCTACTCATATTAGTTAATAAAGATAGATTTTAGTGATTGACAGTTAAAAAAGGGGAAAAAACAGCCAACAAACAGCCAATTAACCAAAACAAAGTCTCTGTAAAATCCCTGGAACCAAATTTTTAGGAGGGCAAGTTTAGGTTGGAGCATGTTCTGTTTTTGCTGTGAGGAAAGAAGACTGAGGGTTCAGCACAAGGAGGCAGAGCATCTGTGACCAGCTCTGTCTACATGCAGTGCTGGATAAGTCACTCAGATCCAGGCTTTGCTACAGTTCTAACAGTGCTGACATAGCTGCTGAGGGTTTCCCAAATTTTGGCATGATTTTTCTTTTTTTTTTTTTTGTTTGTTGC